ATTTGCCTGAGAGTCAGCTGAGGAGAAGAGGGGAAGGTTATGATAGCTGGTAGGAGCAGCAGAAGGCAGCCCACCTGGACGTCCACCCGCGGAGTGCTTCCTCAGGCTCTGTCCCGTTGGCATTTTGGGTCAGTGCTGCTGCATTGCGTTGGACTAGCTGCACCTTACAGCACATCTGCCCACCTCCCTGGCCCCTCACGATTTCCTGGGGCTGGGGTGGGAGCAGCCCACCTCACTACCCCACCTCACCCAGGGCCTCTGAGGACCGTGGACAGTTGCCTGCGTGTCAGAAGTGGGTGTTGCAGTGGCATGCTGCCGCACACACCTGTGATCCCAGCCCCGGGAGGCCGAGGCAGGAGGACTACAGGCCCACTCAGGAGGCTGAGGCCAGAGGATTATTGCAGGTTGGAGCTTGCTGGTGCGGCTGTGAGTTTGTGTCTCAGAAATTAAATTAAGGGCTGGAACGTGGCTCAGTGCGAAAACCCCGGGCTCAGTTCCTAGTAACCACCTCCAGAACCGTGCGTGGCCAACTGTGGCTGTGTGTTGTTGTGTTTTCCTTCTGGGCCTAGGAGCAGACAAAGGGAGTTGTGCTTTCAGCCAGATTTGCTGGGGGTGGGGCAGGAAGGGATTGCTGCGGCCGGGACAGGCGTGGAGGCAGATACCTGGGGTCTAGCCTTTCCGAAGGAAGTCACTCTTAAGTGGGGTCGCTACTAGTTGTTCTGTTGCTCTTTGTTTTTGTGTTGGGGAGTGCACCCAGGGCTTTGTACTACTGTACCCTCTACCATTTTAATTTTTTTGGTCTTTTTGAGACAGGTCTCTCTATGCAGTTCAGGCTGGCTTTGAGCTCACTTTGTAGCCCAGGCTGGTCTTGAACTTGGAATAAACCTTCTGCCTCAGCCTTCTGAGTGCTGGGATTGCAGGTGTGCTCTTCAGGCCCAGCTTCCTGGCCCTTTTTATTTTTTAAAGTTTAAAGCAATGTCTTGCTAAATTACCCAGACAGGGCTCGAACTTTCGATCCTCCTGCCACAGCCTCCCAGAGGCAGCTGTGTTTTTAGGTGCAGGATAGTAATACCTCCCCCTTAGGGTTCTTAGGAGATTGGAGGTGTTAACATTTGTAGCCTGTCTTCCTCCCAGCCTCACCTTTACTTTCCCAGTCTGGGTTATTCTCAGTACCCCCTTGAGGGCTCAGCTCCCCATTCTTTGTCTTGTGTAGCGTGTCCCTCCTCGGGTCTGAGTTGAGCCCAGTCTAGGGGCCTTAGGTACCTCTGGGAAGGACTGGCACACAGGGCGCGTTGCTAGGGATCAAATTACATGCCCCAGAGCAATGGCTTCCCCAGCCCCGGGCTTCCCTCACCGGCGCTTGCAGTGCTGACGCCAGAGTCCTGACCCCAGCCTTGGTTGGCGGCTGGTGTGAGACAGTGTGGCTTGACATTAGTCCCTCTTGGATGAGCCATTTCATTCACAGCCGGAGGCCTCAGCTGCTGCTTAATAGTCTGACCCTGCAGCAGGATTGAGATGAGCCGCAGCTGTTCCTAAGTGGAGCATTGCCATTTCTCACATCCCTCCTCCCACCCAGATGGTGCTCAGCATGTGACCCTGGAGGGCGGGGGACATTCTCAGTGCTCGCAGGGGCTCTGCGACTCCTCTGAGGCAGGATCTGGGGGTTTCTCCCTGGCACCATTTTTGGGGGTCCTAGCTGCTCACTGCATGTGACTGGTGTCAGACCTGGCAGTTTCTGTGACCCGGCCGGATGCCACTGCTGGTTCTCCAGGGGTCGTGCTCTCTGGAGCTGTGTGGGGACTGTGAGAAGCTGAGCAGGCTGGGATTGTGTGTGGGAAGGAGGCCCGTTATTTCAGAACTGAAGTGGTCATCTGGTGGCGGCAGTGTTTTCCACCGGGTGGTCAAGCGCCACGCGGTGAAGGTGAAGCATTCCTTCAGTGGTCTGCCCCAGTGTGATCCTAGGTGCTGGGGCAGGGCAGGTGAGTAACATGAATCTTCCTTTCTGGGTGGTGTTTGCAGCGGAGGTGCTGCCCTGCCTTTGTCAAGGAGCTGAAGTCTTCATGGGAGGGGCCTGCCCCTTAGCTCAGCTCTTTAAGTGGCTGCTTCAACAAAGCAGTCAGGCTCAGGTTGCTGTGGTTCGATCCCCACAACTCAAGCCAGCCAAACCTGCCCTGAAGGCATTCGGAGGAAAAAAAGAAAAAGAAAAGACTTCATGGGAGAGCAGTTAAAACCTTGGGGCTTGGGGCTAAGGAGATGGCTCAGTGGAATAAGTGCTTCCCTGGCAAGGACAAGGGCCTGAGTTCAATCCCTGGTTTCAAACCAAAACCTTAGGTCTTGCAGGTAGACACGGGATTGAATTATTATTAGTATTTTTAAATGTGTTTGGTACCGGTCTCACTGCGCAGCATAGTGATCCTCCTGTTTTCAGCCTCCCCAGCTCTGGGATTAAAGGCGTGTGCCACGATGCCTGGACTCAGTGGCTGGCTCAGCGTACCGGGGGCAGGACCAGTGTGGCATGTGGTGTCGGGGATCGAACCCCAGTCCCTGCGCTAGCTTAAGCAGGTGCCTAGTCCGCTGACCTATCTTGCTGGTCCAGGACTGAGTTTTTCTTCTGCTGTTTCCTGGTCTTGTGGCTGAGCAGGCTGCACCTGCAAGGTGGTAATAGTATCGACCCAGTCGTTCTCTCCTCAGAGACATGGCGCTGGGTTCAAATGGCAGCTGGGGAAAGAGAGGTGCAAACGGCGTGAAAGCAGACGGAGGGCAGCTGCTGTGCCTCATCTGTGGGCCGTGGCAAACCTTGAGTTAATCCTCCTTATAACAAGACTTAGCACAAAAAGGACACCATCTTATGTTTTGTGGGTCCTTTTGCTGCTTTGCCTTGATTAAGGGTTTGGCTGGCGGGGTAGTCTTTCCCTGGGCAGCAGCGAGGAGGGCGCAGGTCGGGCTCTGCAAGCGTGGTCCCCGTGTGCTGTTCGCTCTGCGCTGGTCCAGTCACCGTGGAGGTCAGAACTCTGAGCAGTCAGCCTTGACCTTGAGGTACACGGAAACTAAAGCTTACATGGTCAGGGAGCCAGATTCTGAGTCTATGCTGTGTTAGTGTGTACATTTGCAGACCTTTCTGAGTTGGTGTGGTTCAGCTTAGAGTTGCAGCGTTGGGTCCATGGCACGTCACTTGACGGAGATCAGCTCATCAGGATGAGCTGCTGTATGCTGCAGAACTGTCATTCCACTTAGGACCGGAATAGTGAGTCTGGTTGGAGAGAGGGAACACACGGAGAATTTTGGTCAGCACCATCAGGGATGTGTGGCTTCTGCCTTCATGGGCTTTATTCCCTTTCTATGCAGTAGAGCAGATGTACATATTTTTATAGGGAAGGACAGGGACTCTGTTAAAAATCCTCATCAGCTTTAAATTGTGGCAGTCCCGTGAGGAAAGCATTTCCTTCGTAGTTGACGCTGAGGCTCAGGACCTCTGTCCTTGTGGCTGCGGGGCAGCGGTGAGAGCCCCATCATGACACGGGAGGGGCAGGTAAACACCAGCTAGAAAGGAGACTTCTGTTTCTGGGGACGGGAGAGCAAACGATCAAGGTGCCCTGGTGCAAGACTGCTATTCCACTTGGGACCCGAATAGTGAGTCGGATTTGAGAGAGGGAACACGCAGAGAATTTTTGGGCAGCAAGGGATAGTTGCGCTGGTTCCTTTGCTCCCCGTCCTCACGATTTCTCCATTTAGAGTGGGGTCTTGGGCTTTGTCCTTTGGTCCCATTGTTGGCTTTGACTTCTACATGAACAGGAACTTCCACTCCACATTGATGCTGGGGGCCCAAGGAGTCAGGAGGGAGAGGTGGGGCGGGACAGTGCAGCGTGGGGAGTCTTGAGAAGCTCCAGAGATTCAGCGGAGTCTTTCGGAATGGATGGGCTTCTGAGAGGAGTGGAGTGGGTGTTTGTGCCAGAGGAAAGCACCATCAGAGATACCACCCTGAGAACTAGCTTCTGAGTTCAGGTCCGGAGAGAGCGGCTCCTACAGAACCAGCATGGTGTGGGAGAGGCTGATAGATAGACCAGGGCTGGTGACCATAGGGGTCAGGGGGAGGCAGGCTGTGCCATCTTCCTCTGCTGAGTTACTGTCCCCTTGTCACAGAGCTAAGAAACATACGGGTCCCCTCCTGGATTCTGGTTCATGCCTAACCTCATTGCAGGGCCAGCATGGAGAGTCCTGGACCCAGATGTGAAGGAGGCTCTGTGGCCAGCCTCTGCACTGGAACTAGAGCCATTTTCAGGGCAATTTGTTAATTTGTTCATGCAGCAAATACAGTAATACCCTGGTTCATGAACACTTCCATTGCGAACAATTCAGTTTGCAAACAAAAGCATTTGGCAAAACTTTTTCCGTTCACAAGTTCTACCCAGTGTGACAAACACAACCCCAGCCATCTTCCCAAAAATCATAAAACAAATCAAGTTCATAAACCGAGGGGCTGCTGTATTGGTTAGGAGCATGCTCTGTGCCTGACGTGGTACTTGACACTTAGGGGCTGTAGAACAGGCGTGGTCCCTGTCCTCTGGCTGGCTGTCCTCCGATGGGGCCTACAGGTTTGGTATCACAACCTCAGCTCCCGTCGGGAGGAATGTAGGTGTTCTTTCTGCGCTTCCTCTTTCTCTCCCCCTCGTCTCACAGGGTCTCACTGTGTAGCCCATGTTGGCCTTAACACATTCGCAATGGAGCCGTGGACCCTGTGTCTTGTGGCTGGGTGGCGTGAATGGCTGTGGCCCCACTGTGCCAACTCCATCAGGCAGCTTTTTGTTAATTTCGTTAGTGGAAAGATAGCTAAAGGTGGTTAGGCCTGTCTGGAATGCCCGTGGTTTGAGCTGCCTGATGGGACAGTGGTGCCACAGGCGGCCTGGGCTGAGGCTGGGGCTGCGGCCGTGCGCCTGTGCGCCTCCGTGCGGGTGCACAGGTGTGCTGTGCTTCCTTTAGCGTATTGCTTGTTTTCTTGACAGACAAAGCCACGGACCCAAGTGTGTCAGACCAGGACTGGCCGGCTCTGCAGAACTTCTGCGAGCAGGTGAACACCGACCCCAGTGGGTAAGGCGGCTTCATGTGCGCACTGAGCTCTGAGGGCGTGAGGGGAGTGTGGGGCTCTGCCTCTGGGGACGGTTGGGAGGCTCGGGTTGTGTGCCCCTCCCAAGCTTTTGTTTGTCTTCCTGTTTTTTGAGACATTGCTTCGGTAGGCAGATTGGCCTTGGACTCAATATATAATCCAGGCTGGCCTCAAACTCCTGGTGATCCTCCTGCCTCAGCCTCCCGAGTGCTGGGATTATAGCCGTGCACCACTACAGTTTTGTTCTAAACCTAAGCCAGGTATGGTCAGTGCAGGCCTGTAATCCTGGCATTTAATAAGAGGCTGAGGCAGGAGAATCGTGGTAAGTTCAGGGTCAGCCTGAACTGCAAGGCGAGACTTAGTCTCGAAATTGAAGTAAGATAGAATAAAATTAAATTACCAAAGTTCTTTTCAAACTGCTGCCTACTTTGACAAGGAGAATCTGTTTTTGCCTTCTGGTGTCCAGGTATGGCCTAAATTGGGTGACTATGCCTGGTTGAGTTCTTGGACATGTTCGTGCAGCCAGGCTGCTTCGCGCTGTGGCTTCCGTGTGCAGTGGCTCGGGCAGTGGGTCATCCCAGCTGTGCCTTGGACAGGACAAGCGGATTTTTTCTGTTTAGTTCCTTGCCTAATAAATACGTGCTATAAATTTAAGCAAGCTTTTATTTTATATATTTGTAAGCTGTGACGTAAAGAAGTGAACGTTTTGTAAAGTTTGTATTTTGCATACTCAAGGTAAGAAATAAGTTTTAAATCTATAATATTTTAAAAAATAAATTAACAAATTCATATGGATTTTATTTTATTTTTTTGGTTGTTTGTTTTTGTGGAACCAGGGATTGAACTCAGGCTGTTGCGCTTGCCAGGGAAGCCCTTATTCCACTGAGCCATCTCCCCAGCCCCTCATGTGGATTTTAAAAAAGTGATTGTTCACAACTATTTACTATTTTTTTTTTTTTTTTTCTGTATTTAGGACAGAATCTACAGGGTCTCACTATGTAGATTGGATTCCTAGTGATTGAGCCTTTCAAGTGCTGGAATTATAGGTGTGCCACTGCCCAGTCTCTGTCACCATCTCAGTGAGCCCCTGGGGTGGGGTCACCGGCAGCTGCTCTCTGCTAAGCAGGTGCTTTAGTTCCCTGAGTTATCAGGCTGGCCCCACAACTATTTACTTTTTTTTTTTTTTTTTTGAGATAGGCTAGCCTGGCGCTTATGGGGATCCTCCTGCCTCAGCCTCCTGAGTGCTGGGGTTATAGGCGTGCACCATGCTCAGCTTATTTTTATTTTAAAAAATAATATTGTAAAGCTAGCTGCTGGTCACACACCTGAAATGCCAGCATTCTGAAGTCTGAGCCAGGAGGATGGCATGTTCATGCCTGGCCTGCTCAACTGAGTGACTTAGTCCTGTCTCGGAATTTTAAGAAAAAGGGGCCAGGGAGATAGCTCAGTAGAATAAGGGCATGAGTTCAATCCCAGTTCCAAAAAAAAAGAAGAATTTTAAGGAATTTTTAAAGGGCGAAAGAGGTAACTCATTGTGAAGGCCCTGAGTTCAGTTCCTAGTTCTACAGACCAACCCCCGATAAAACAAAAGAAAACCTGGCGCTCAAAAGTCAGAGTGTGGCTGCTGGAGTGGCGCTAGTTTATTGATGTGAGACACCAGTGTGCTCCTGATTTAAATACAGTTTTCTGTTTGAGAAGCAGGAAGTGGTAAAATGTTGTTACGATCTTAGCTTTTTCGTGGTGCAGCGGTGGCACACTGGGCAAGTGCTGTGCTGCGGGGCTGTCCCTCAGCCACAAGACGGTTGTCTGCTGAATTCTGTTTCCAAAGCCCCTTCCCCCAGGTTGGGCTGTCATGGTGCTGATCTGCTCTCTGGAATGTGAGCCCTAGGCAGGCCTGCACTTCTTCCTCCAGGGTCTCCTGAGCAGCTACCACAGGGCCCACGGGGTCCGGGGTGTGGAATGCTGACTGCTCCCCCCAGCGATCTCACGGAGTTGGCTGTGGGAGGGTGATGTGGCTCCCCCGGGAGAGGACCCTGTGTGATGAGGGGTGGCGGGAGGCCGGGAGCCAGCCCCGCAGAATCCGTCCCAGGCTGTGTGCCATTTGCACTTCAGCTCTGTTCAGGACCCAGGGCTAGCACAGAGGGGCTCTCCAGGCACCAGGAGCGCGGGTGGTCAATTCTTCCCCACCCAGTGCCCCGGTCTTTCTGTTTTCCCCCAGCCCAACACATGCGCCCTGGCTGCTGGCCCACAAGATCCAGTCCCCGCAAGAGAAGGAAGCTCTTCATGCCTTGACTGTGAGTTTGGCTTGTGCCTCCCCCAGCTCTCCTGTGCTGGAAGGAGCCCCACGGGGCCATGGGTGTCTGAGAGGGTCCCCTACAGAAGCCTGGGAGAGTGGGCTGGCGGGTTCTGGGCCAGTGGCTGTCCCACCTCAGCTCTGTTTCTGGGGCACAGCACAATATCAGGGTCACTGTAGACTTAGGGAAAGTTAGCCATGGTTCCTGTGCACCCCCGCACCCTGGCTCCCTTCCTGTGGGAGAAGGGACGGAAGGCTTTATTGTCCTTTACTCTTAGGCCAGGGCTGGCAAGTTCCGGCGCCCACAGTGTCTCCCCTGGACCCCTGCACCATGTGAGGCTGCTATGGGAAGGCACATGCCCATCTGCAGAGGCCTGAATTTGGGCCCAGTATTGTTTAAAAACTTTTGGTTTTTTCTTTTCTTTTTTTTTGGTGGAACTCAGGCCTTATTTCCACTTGCCAGGAAAGCGCTTATTCTACTGAGCCATCTCCCTGGCCCCTGGTTTTTTCAAGAGAATACAGAAACCTAGATTTTTTTAAGCTGAGCTTGGTGACACAGGCCTGTACTCCTAGCACTTGGGAGGCTGAGGCAGGAGGATCATTGTGAGTTTCAGGCCAACCTGGGCCCCACTTAGTGAGCTCAAGGCTGGTCTGAACTACACAGAAAGACCCTGTCACAAGCAATCATGATAAAGAGAGCCAATTACAATCAATGTCTCTGTGTGTGTGTGTGTGTGTGTGTGTGTGTGCGTGCGTGTGTGTGCGCGTGTGTATTGGGTTTTCCTATGCAGTTCCGGTTAGCCTTGCGTTCACTTTGTTCCCAGGCTATCCTCAAATTCCAGCCATGCTCCTGCTTTAGCCTCCCCAGTGCTGGGATTATAGGTGTACACCACCACACCTGCTGATCTTTTAACTTTTAAAACAAATGAAAATTATTATAAAAGCTCTTAACTCATTTGACATGTTGAAAAATGACAGATGCCGAGAGGTAAAACGTGCCTCTTGAGTGCCAGCGAGCGCTCTACAGAGGTGCAGGCCCTGGGCACTGCATGACACCTCTTCCCCTGGGGAGTTGTGACTCTCACACTGGTTTCAGCTGCTGGAGAGATCTGGGTCTCCTTGATTGGCGCTATGACCTCGGGGTGCACGGAGACGCCATCGAGCTACCTCCTGGACACGAGCGTGGCAGTGTGTGACAGAGGACATCTTGATCTGGAAACATCCCTTTCCTCCCAGACATTAGGGTCGCTGTGCCCTGGGGAAGGCCGCCCGTGGTCCTGTGCACCTGGAGCCGGCCCCTCCCACAGGTCCTGTGTCCGTGCAGGTGCTGGAGATGTGCATGATCCACTGCGGGGAGAAGTTCCACGGCGAGGTGGCCAAGTTCCGCTTTCTGAACGAGCTGATCAAGGTGTTATCGCCCAAAGTGAGTTCCAGGGTGGAGCCTGCCCAGCGGGCACCCACAGCCGAGCCACGTGCCGAGGGCTCTAGCCCGTGAGGGGTGCTGTGTGGGAGAGCGTCTCCTCTCCACAGTGGGGGAGGACCACTGTGTTGGTCAGCTGCACCCCTCCGTGGTTAGCCTTCTTCACACTTCTCCTTGCAAGTGGCATGTCCTGTTCCGTGGTGTGCAGCCCGAGAAGATACTGAGCAGTGACTCGGCCGGCGTGACCGTGAGTGTCACGTAGCCGTCTGGCTGGCCATCTGCACCTGTACCCCTCAGGAGCTAGCTTGCTGGGACCCTTTCTTGCTGCAGTCCAGCACGTTCTAGTTCACCCGGCTCCTGACTACCTGGAGCCCACACTCCGCACACCCTAGAAGCTAAGTCAGTCCCGTTAGACCACCTGCTCTCAGGTGCCAGGCCTCAGACCACTGTGCCTCCGAGTCCCTGATTGCCACTTTGGGGAGTCCCCGCTTCCGGGTTCCGTAATCCACCAAGCATACATGGAACACCGAAGTGTGCCTTGTCATGATCTCTTGCTCCTCAAGGGGTCCATGGGGGCAGGAGGGCGTGATGCCCTCGTGGGCCTGGGCCCGTGCCCCTCCTGGCACCTTGGTGCATTTACCAGCCAGGTGTTTTGGCGGCTTGGCCAGGGCCTGTGTCACTGGCAGGGCTGAGTCTCCAGCCCTCACCTCTCTGCATCCCTGTGCCCGGGTCGCAGATTGGGCTGGAGATTGCACTTCTGTGCAGTTGTCGTTTCTGTACTGTGCTGTCCATGCCCTGGAGACGCCCATCTCAGCCTCTGCGAGTCATCCCTGTAAACTCGGGTTGGTCCCAGGCCCCCTTGCCAGTAATAGGACACCCTTGCCACTCAGGGCATTCTGGAGTTTGTCTTTTGTTGAGACAGGGTGTTGCTGTGCATAGCTCAGGCTGTCCTTGAACTCACTCTGTAGCTCAGGCAGACCTCAAACTTGGGGCAGCCCTCCTGCCTCAGCTACCTCCGTGCTGGGGTTACAGGTCTGCACCATCACGTCTGGCTATTCTGTGGGTTTCTTTTTTTTTTTTTTTTGTATTTAGTACAGGGTCTCACTACACGGATCAGACGTGTATTGGTTCTCCTGTTTTCAGCCTTCCCAGTGCTGGGATTACAGGTGCACATCACCATGCCCAGGCTCAGTTGCTGTCTCAGCACACCCCAGGGGCGGGGCTGGCTTGGCACCCCAGGAATCAAACCCAGTCCCTGCCTAAGCAGGCGCTTCAATCTGCTCAGCTATTTGGCCGGCCCCTATTCTTTTTTTTTTTGGCTCCAAATGCCTTCAGGGCAGGATGGCTGGCTTGAGTTGTGGGGATTGAACCACAGCAGCCTGAGCCTGACTGCTTGGTTGAAGCAGCCACTTAAAGAGCTGAGCTAAGGGGCAGGCCCCCCCCCCATTCTGTGTGTGTTTATTTTTATTTATTTTTAATTCTGTGGGTTTTTGAAGCTCTGTGCTGGAAAGTGGGTTAAGATCAGGTTTTGTTGTATACTTGCATCAGTCAAAAAAAGAATCAATTTCCATGACGTAGAAGGCTGCGAGCAGGCCCAGCTGCGGGAGCAGGACCTTCCGAACTCCCGCTGTGGCAGGGCTGCGGTTTGGCTGCGGGACGGACGCTTTGGCCTCTGGCCACGCCTCTCCCTTTGCCCGTGGTGGGCTGCCCCTTGCCCTGGGCCTTCGGAGCTTCTCTTGAATGTGCGTGGTGGCCAAGAGGTCTCTTAAGACTCTTCCAGATAATTGTCTCTCCTTTTTGCTTTCAGTACCTGGGGGCCTGGGCCACAGAGAAAGTTAAAGCAAGAATTATTGAGATACTCTTTAGTTGGACTGTGTGGTTTCCGGAAGACATCAAGATCCGCGATGCCTACCAGATGCTGAAGAAGCAAGGTGTGACTCTCGTTGGGGCTGTGCTCCCTCAGCCCTGGGGGCGCCCCCCGTGTGTGCTCGTGACCTGTCGGGAGGTGGACGCTGTGGAGGACAGGAAGGCGTCTTTATCCCTGGAGACGGCGGACCTTCCCCCTGCCGGCAGCGTCCAGCTGGGTTTGAGCTTCCCCGCTGCTGCCTGGCAGCTGCCATTCTGCGCTGTCCCATTCTGCGCTGTCCCATTCTGCGCTGTCCCATTGTGCGCTGTCCTGTGGGGCCTTAGGCTTAGGCTGCGACTGATGTGCTGGAACCTTGCTTGGGGCCCCTTTGGTCTGCGTCTCCGCACAGTTGCTGCTCCTGTCAGCAGGCGGCGGTGACGCGTTGCAAAGGCGGATGGGGGGCACTGTGTCACTGCCTCCCTGTGGTTTCTCTGGGAGCCTGGCCCGCTCAGAGGATACAGTCCCTGCTCCGGCCTCAGGCCACACTCCTGCTGCCTGCTTTTTCCGGGTTCTCCCTCCGCTGCTTGGAGGGTGCAGGGTTCGTTGCCTTACCCCAGCAGCTTGAAGACTTTGGTCTCTGGGGAGAGAGATAAGCCCATGGAGGGGAGCTCGTCTTCCATGTTTTGTGCCCCCAAAAGTTGTGTATTCTCTTGGCTGCTCGCATTGGCCTCTGAACGGTGTGAAGCTGTTGTAGCTGAACTTCTTTTGTTTTTTGAGGCAGGGTGCAGGCTGGCTTTGGACTCGCTGTGCGGCCAGCGTGCCCCTTGCCTGGGGCAGTCGTCTGCCTCCCCTCCCTGGCCTGGGCTTGCAGGTGTGCTCCGGGACGGCTGGCCCGTGTGAGTCTTAGCTGTGCTGCCTCCCACTGTGCCCTGGAGACCCCGCCTGTTCTTAGACTTGAGGGGAATGTGGGGCTGCCCCGTGGTCTCAGGTCTCCTGGATTCAAAATAAGTTGTTAGTAGGGCCGGGGAGATAGCTCAGTAGAGTAAGCACTTGCCTGGCAAGCACAGGGTCCAGAGTTCAATCCCTGGTGCCAGGAAAAAAAAAAAAAAGTTGTTAAATTGTAGATTGTCTAGTGTTTTGTCTTTTACTGTTGTCAGGGTAATCTTTCTTCCTTGTGTGTCCTTTCTGGAAGCTGGGGCCCATATTCTTTCTAGGCTGGGCTCTTTTCCGAATGAACTTGTTTTAAGATGGATAGTTGGGAGTTGGGGAGGTATTTCAACAGTGTAAGCACCTGCCTGGCAAGCACAAGGTGCTGAGTTCAATCCCTGGTACCAAAAAAGATAGTTTTTCCGTACGATGGGCACTCTTAGTCCTTTTAGGAACTTCACCAGGGAGCTTGCAGTAGCTTCTGGGTCCTGAGAGGTTATTTATGTGGGTGCGTAAAAGGATCCTTACTTTCATAGCAAAAGATCCATGGAGTACAGGCCTTGGGGTTGGCTCTGCTCTGATGCCCCTGACTTTGGATGCTCCTGGAAGAAAACACAGAGCTTCTGCTGCACGCTGGCTGTATCTTTTGGAGGCTGTTAGCAATGAATTTTTTGTGGGGCATCAGGAACCAAAGGGTTCTGGACTTGGTACTGGCTCTTGCTATGTCACCAGGTACCCGTTCCTGTATTTTTACTTTGTGAATTGTGTATTTCAGGAATCATAAAACAAGACCCTAAACTACCAGTGGATAAAATCTTACCCCCACCTTCGCCCTGGCCCACCAGCTCCATCTTTGATGATGAAGAAAAGTCCAAGGTGGGGAGCTGTGCCCAGCCCTCGGTAGCTGGGTGGGCCCTGGTTAGACTGCTTCCTGGGCGCTGGCCTGGAAAGGCCACTGACCTCTGAACCAGAGCATGGAGAACGTGCCCAAGGAGGGTGTGGAGTTGGTCTGAGATTGCAGAAGCCCCGATGTGTTTGCACAGCAGGGGGTGGTAAATGTCATGCTTTGGAATCCCAGCTTGCGCTCCTGGGCCGGAAGGGTCCGGAAGGTCACCTGAGGGGCGGGCTGTGGGACTCATCTCTTGTCTCCCTGTGTGTGGTGCTGGGGGTAGGGGGCAGAGAGCTGCACACTGGGGAAGATCATGTTTAGTGCCAGTGAGCCTGGTACCGCCCTTGTCCTCTCAGAATTGTTGGTCTCAGACATCAGAAGGAAAAGGAGGGAGGGAAGAGGAAAGCTGTCAAACCCAGCCTGAGGCAGGGTAGCTCCAGTGCAGGTGGGTGGTGCGGCTGAGGAGCTGGAGAGCGTGCGGCACGGCTTCTGGGGAGTCGCTTCTGTATTGCTGCCGTTAGGGTTTCCCATCCTTGCTGTCTCCTAAGCTAAGAGGGAGGCCCCCGTGTGCCAGGCGTTCTGCCAGGCTCGGAGTAAAGTGACACACTGTGTGGCCGCAGGCAGTGCCATCGCAGCTAGTGTGGGCCAGGGCGCCTCGGTAGCTTGGACCTTTTGAGATTGATGCTTCTGCGCTGGGGCGGACTGGTGGAGGCCGTGCTGAGGATGGGACAGCGCCCTGGCCTCGCCCGCTGGGTGGCCTCACCCACTGGTGGCAGGAGGGCCTCCTCATCAGTTAGGACAGCCAGGAATGTCCCCAGAGTTCGTCATGCATGCCCCATGGGGCGTGGGAACCTAACTGTCCCGTCCTTGCTCCCTGAAAGCCGGGCACCTGCTGGGTGGTTGTAGGGCCCGCATCTCTGTGCCGGCTCAGTGAGATAATCTGGCTGTTACTAGTGTCAAAGGCGCTTCCGGGGCTGCTGCCCCTCAGGCCGGTGTTAGAGCCACATCCTCTTCTCTAGCTTCTGAATCGACTGCTGAGGAGCAGCCACCCTGAGGACCTGCAGGCTGCAAACCGGCTGATCAAGAGCTTGGTCAGGGAGGTGGGTGTTCTTCACGTGGGTCTGGCGGGGTGCTGGGCAGTGCGTGCACATGTGCTTGGGGGTGCTAGGTGCTGGGGAGGGGCCTGGAGGGCAGCAGGGTGGTGACTGGAAGAAGCAGTTGTGTTCCTGGGCATCCTGGCTCTCCCTCCCTTTTCTGTCATTGCTTTGTGTGTGTGTGTGTGTGTGTGTGTGTGTGTGTGAGAGAGAGAGAGAGAGAGAGAGAGAGAGAGAGAGAGAGAGAGAGAGAGAGA